TATGTACACACATACCTTTCATAAACAACCACAAACATACACGTACGTACACCAAGTCACGTCACAAAAGAATCATCATTTTCCGTTGAGCAGCAGGCTGATTCATCAGCAGCAATCTCTTCACACCAATTACACAAAAAACTGAGCTGGGGATAATGACATACCACTGTTTGCAAATCTCTCTCAGCCTCAGCCGGTCTCATCTTTGTAATAAGAAAAAAATCCTTGAGGAAGCTTTTTACCAAATCGCATCTTGACCATTAAATCTTTCTTGAGGAAGGTCATTTAATTTTATGGAAAGAAATGAAAAATTAAAATGGCATAAGCAGAAATAGTGCTGATCTGGAAATCAGAAAGCTGACAATTCTAGTTCTAGTTCTGTGGCTTTGGCAAGAGGGAATCTTGGGTCTCAGTTTCCCCCTCTGGAAAAGAGGGATGTTGGGATGGGGGGAGTTGTTCTCATTCCCCCACAGTTGATGAAAATGGAGGTCTATTATGGTGTCCTGAGTCAGAACACCAAGTTAAACACACACACACACACACACACACACACACACACACACACACACACAATTTAATCCCTCAGCACTTCCTCTGAGAAAAAGAGACCAAATGATGCATAACGAGGGTCTTCTGCCTCCACAACATGTAATCATTTGGATGATTAGCTAAAAGCAATTATAGAATTGTAGTTGACAAACAGAAAATGCTAAGCCCAGTGGTCTCTTGTAACTGAGCCTCATTTAAATGTGCATTGTGTTGAATGGAGCCTCATTTAAATGGTCCATCCTAGCCAGATTACGGAACTGAAGTGGAGAACCACACAGTTACCCTGAGCATTCAGGACAGTCCAGAGAGCTAATTTGGACAATTGGACAAATGATTATTTTCTTTTGCCTCAATTGACCAGATAATTGTACACAAGTCTCTGCCATTTGACTCCATAGAATGTCCCTTTGTGTAGTAAGAAAGCCTGGTCATAGACTGGTACCATGACGTCTGTCCGAGGGTGGCATGGAGCTGGGGACAAGACACACAGCTGACACCCACCATCTAACTCTGAGTCCTAAATCAGAAGCACTTTCACACGTGCTGAGTCTCTGCTTGCACCCAGAGCTCTCATTAGTTCCTTCTAATACCCATCACTTGGGAGGAGGTTGTTTTCAAAACAGAATTAAACAAAACCATCAGGCAACAAGGTTAGAAGTGGAGTCTGGGTGGCCAAGAAAATTAAGTTTTTTGTTTGCTTTCTGTTTTTGAGACAGAGTCTCACTCTGTCGCCCAGGCTGGAGTGCAGTGGTGAGATCTCGGCTGACTGCAAGCTCCGCCTCCCGGGTTCACCCCATTCTCCTGCCTCAGCCTGCCAAGTAACTGGGACTACAGGTGCCCACCACCATGCCCGGCTAATTTTTTGTATTTTTAGTAGAGATGGGGTTTCATTGTTAGCCAGGATGGTCTCAATCTCCTGACGTCATAATCCACCTGCCTCAGCCTCCCAAAGTGCTGGGATTACAAGCATGAGCCCCCGTGCCCTGCTTTTTTCTTTTTTTTTTTTAAAGATGGAGTCTCGCTCTGTTGCCCAGGCTGGAGTGCAGTGGCACAATCTCGGCTCTCCGCAACCTCTGCCTTCTGGGTTCAAGCAATTCTCCTGCCTCAGCCTCCCTGGTACCTAGGTTTACAGGCACGTGCCACCACAACCAGCTTACTTTTGTATTTTAGTAGAGACAGGATTTCACTATGTTGGCCAGGCTGGTCTTGGGCTCCTGACCTCAAGCGATACACCTGCCTTGGCCTCCCAAAGTACTGGGATTATAGGTGTCAGCCTCTGCGCCCGGCCAAGAAAATTAGTTTTTAAGAGCCAATATACACCAAGATATACAATTCTAGGCATGCATTCATGTGCATGCACAGTGCTAAGTTCTGAAATGTAGCTCATGCTGGATGAACCAGGTCTGCCTACCTAAATCTTAGAATGGAAACTTACCATAACTGATTGATGAATTAGAACCACAGAGAAGCAGGAAGTCTTTGTGATGCGCTGTCTTCCCTACACCCAACTAGGGATATCCCTTCTGTGAAAAGCTCTCTCCACATGGTCCCACATGGTTTAACTAGGGTAAGGGATGCCGATGATCAAAATTAAGGCCACATGTAGAATGACATGCTCTCCTATTAGATTTAGATAGAAACGGTGCTAGGAAAATAGGCTAGGTAAATTTTGTTGTGGCTACAGAACTATGGCAGACAGACCGGGAAGGAGTCTAGATTGCTCAAACGTTGGATCAGGATCAGACTTCTTATAGGATGGTCGCTAAATTTCCAGAGGAAATCTATATCCAGCCTGTTTACCTGCTGTCAAAGTGAGCATTCAAAGGGACACCCCAATGGTCTCCCACTTCCAGGCCTCCTGGCAAGTCACGCCTCCAAGTCACTGGTGGCATCTTGCAGCTCTCCACTGACAGCAATGCTTCTTCGGATTGTTGTGTCTGCATACTCTTGTAGCACTGGTTCAAGACTGGGCCACCAAAGACTTAGCTGAGAACGTAACCCAAGAGGTCACCAGTTACGTGGGTGTTGTACCTTTATGTGGTCCTCTTCGGGATGGAAGATTTCTTTAATGTTATTAAGTATCATTGCCGGTCAGAATATTCTTGAAGCCTATGGCAAATGTCTCTCCTTTCAGAGTGGATTTGATTCTTGGACAGAGCCAGTGGCCAACATGTGAGTTGGGGAAATGTAATTTCTAAACAAAAAACAAGGTGAGAGCGCAAGAGGAGGATGTTTCTTTTGTGTAGTTTGTCAACAGGCTCTGAAAGGAACTGCTGTTGAGTCACCGCAGCACCTCAAAACCAAACACCAAGTGCGCCAAGGAGACCTGGCATGACAGCTGCTATTTTTTGTATGCATAAGTTCTGGTGACGAAACCACATACCCCTACCATCACTCAGGTCCACATCTCCCACCAGCAAAACATATGCATCAAAGTCAAGTTTCAGGACAAAGGTCCTCCTTGGAGGACCCCAGGACAGGCACAATCAAGGGGAAACATAGTCTTGGCTTTGAGTTCAACTGGCAGACACTGTCTCTGAAGTTTTTGGTGTAACAAAGTAGGAAAAAATGTCATTTAGAAAGTTAAGTCTCCTAGAGCCTGTGTGTAAGAACTGCTTCTCAACAAGACACATCACAGTTTTATTTGAAGATTTCCAAATGTTTCTTGGTATGTATATAAAGCACATATTTTCATAAGAAAAATAATTATCTGCCTTTTCGGCAGTTGTTCTTTTTGTATATTGGATAGCAAATAGATTGTCCCTTTGAAAGCATCCATTAGATAGATCAACTTGCAGACACTGAGGCAAAGGCCTCAGGCACAAAACAGTCAGGGGCCCAAAGGATCACAAAACTGGCCAGGCCCTCTCCTAACACAAATGCATTGGAAGAAACCATGAACCCATTGTTAAATTAATACTAGGATTACAGGATGTTCTTTAATCTGCATGATTGCTTTATTGTACAAAAAGTTTCCAGTAACAGTAAATTGGTTTTAAAAAAGGACAAAAAAGTCATTTTGGATAGAAGCGCTTCACTAATTGCTTTATTTAAGCATACAAGAAAAAAAGTCTTATCTGACCAATTAGATTGGAAGGGTTTTATTACCTTTAAGAAGCTATTAGCTAGGATAAAACACTGAAAGCACTTGTGTCAAAACAAATAAATAATGTAAATAACGCTCTCTCAATTAGCAGAGAAAGCAGTGAATCCGTTAAATCAGAGACACACACCACTTCACAAGCATGGCTCAGCCAGCACCACCACCCCCAAAACGAACAAAACAAGAGACAGCAGTTTTCAGTTACAATCTTGGGAAAGATCAGGAGCTTTGGAAAATGGATGGTAAACATGTCTGTTTCTCCTTCTACCTCCACTCAACCTGAGCTACCCCTGGACACTTTAAAGGAGGCATGTGTCCAGAAGATGCGTCCAGGGATGCCCAGAGGGAGCCTGCCCTGCTAGGCCTCCTCTCAGAGGGTGCATCCCAGGCAGAGGAGACTGGCCTGGGTGATCATTACCTCCATGGCCCAACAGAGTGTGGAAAAGCATGAGGTGCCCACAGACCATGGCTGTCAGCGAGTAAAGGGAAAGAAACCCTGAGGTACCATGATTCTTTTCCTCAAATGCTACTGATCTCTCCCCAAGTACAGGCTCAACAGAAAAATACAGTGGTTTGAGGACTCCAAGAAGTCAGCACACAGGCCCGGGGACAGCTCCAGGCTGGGTCTGTCTCTCTCCCACCTTGGGAAACCAGTTATAGCACCAGTGCCCTGGCTTCAGGTGGAAAGGGACAGCTCTCCCACCCAGACGGGATCTTTACAACTATTTTTTTTTTTTTTGAGACGGAGTCTCACTCTGTCACCTAGGCTGGAGTGCAGTGGCGTGAGCTCGGCTCACTACAACCTCTGCCTCCCGGGTTCAAGCGATTCTCCTGCCTCAGCCTCCCGAGTAGCTGGGATTACAGGTGTGTCCCACCACGCCCAGCTAATTTTTGTATTTTTAGTAGAGATGGGGTTTCACCATGTTGGCTAGGCTGGTCTTGAACTCTTGACCTCATGATCCGCCTGCCTTGGCCTCCCAAAGGCTGGAATTACAGGCGTGAGCCACCGCGCCCAGCCCCTCCTTAAAACAATTTCTAATCAGATCCATTATTTTACCCAAATGGGTTGAGGGGACAAAAACCAACCCTCATCACCCTATTTGGTGAAAATAAATATAAATAAATGATGATCCTCTCTTAAAGGGTCATTTTCCTTCAGGGGTTTATAAGACTCAGCACTTTAAAAAGCTTGAACAGGAATCCGGTATTGCCACTGTGGACTGTTTTTGAGGCAGGTTCCCTAATTTGGACAGCCCCACTCCTAAGAGCAGCAGATCTAATTTGGAACGTCTCAACCATGGGTTAAAATCAGCCGGGATGAAAGGACACCTGCAGTGACTCTCAACCGCTGATGAGGTGCTGGCTTCTTATTCTCCAGCCCTCCTTCCTAAACAATGCTTGTCATGGAATACCAGGTCTGCTTCCTGAAATGCCAGGGTCCCTCTAGGTCCTTACCATTCCACAGCCACATCAGTAATAAGAAAACCAGTGGCTACCTGGAGGTGGCACCAACTTGGAAAGGGAGGGCTGGGCAGGGGTTTGGACGTTAAGCCCATGAGCTGTTTGGACAACTTCAGTCTCTGGAATTGAGTTTAAATTTCTGTAAACAACTTCAAAGTCAATTCTAGAGAGATATTTTATGTGACTGGTCCAAATAAAACACATTTAATGAGGTCATATTCTTCCTAAACTTTTTAAGAGAAGCAAAAACAATGGAAAAGCCATTAAAATTTACACAAAGACCATTAAGACTCTACTGGTGTCAATTAAAACAAGGCCAATAAAACATGAACAACTTCAAAGTTACCATCACTATCCACACTGTTCTACAGTTATACGAATATATTCAAGCACCATATTGATAATAGGTAGGTAAACGACAAAGTCCTACTTTGGCGATCTAACCCACGCTCACACAAACGAGGAGCTTCCTAGTCAAGATGCGCCCAGTCCTTGGCAATGTGCCTGCTTCCTGGGCATTGCTCAGCGGCAGGCAATGGAACAGCCAATAAATCAAATCGCTGGTGGAATATTTTACTTTGAAATGGAGTGATGTTTGGTTAATAATCTGAGATCCACTAATCCTAAATGGGGTGACCCATTTAAAATGGCCTCTGTGTAAATTCACAGTTCATTAAACAGAGTCTGGTTTGCACAGGGCATTATGTAGTTAGTATATAACTCATGGATTGAGCAAGGATGGCTGGGGATACCCACGGGGACACGCTGGCTGAGTCTGGTGGCTTTCATAACACTGTCAAGCTTTCTTCTAATGTGAGATTCATTTAAATCACTAACTTAAATGTAGGTGGTTTTGCTTAGTAACCTCTTTTGGTTTACAGTAGAAAATGCAGTGCAAACATTTTAAATGAGGAATATTCCATTTACAATTAATTTAAACTTATGAAGCTGTTTCAACTGGCCTATCTAAATGTGTTAATTAACATCAATGATGGTTTCTTATTTTTCACACTTTGTTACTCTGATCATTAACAGTGATGGAAAAGCTAAATTAAGTTAATGGGGAACGGATTATAAATTCTTAAAGGACTTCTTAGTTTGTTTTCAACTGGAAAATATATAGAGAAAGATGAAGAGGCATCTTTGCCTGTACTCATCAATTTTTGGTAACAAATTTCTTAAAAACCAGATGGTTTAAAGAAAATTTTTCCAAAAATTATTTTAACATTCTGCTCAGACATGGCTGCTAAAAAAATAGCATATACACATATAATACTGAACAGCTTCTGCAGTGCCTGTAAACTCTCAGCTCATTTTCTCTTTCTAAAAAAAATATATATATTATAACTGATCACAGAACTCAATCTCTATTGTGCAGCAGTACCAAAGGTTCTTAAATTCTCAACAATGAAGGAAAAACAAAAACCCATTCCCCGGACCGCTTGAGCAGGACTAGGGGAGGAGGAGTCCGTGGATGGTAAGGTTCGCTGCCCGGACGCCCTCGGATTCCTCGAGGCTGCACCTCTGTGGGCAGCTGGCGGGGCGCAGGCCAAGCCCCTCACACCCGGGAGATCCACACGTGTGGCACACACGAAAACCCAATGCCACTTATCGAGACTTCACGCCAACGAGGACAACAATGAGCACAATGATGATGACAAATAATATTAAAATCACAAGCATCTTCCGATTCTTCTTTTGATACTGTTCTGCCTACAAAAAGAGGAGGGAAAAAAGGCCGTCATTTTCCCCAAAATCCCAGATCAGGTCCCACTTGTTTCCAGAATGAGGCTTCCAGATCTCTCTGCACAGTGACTGAGGTCTCTGCTACAGGCTACATGATTGTAATCCCTCCGTCAATCCCAGGGAATTCAATCACCAGGAGTGGAAGAGCCCCATGATCCCGGAGCTGCTTATTTACCCTGGACGTGGAAATGGACTTGTTGGAAACCTACTACTAAGACAAAGGCTGACAGGGAAGTGAAAGCTCATGCTTCCGTGTACAGCTGGGCGTGCTTCTCCCTGCTTCTCCTCCTACAGGCCGTGGCAAGCGCCCCTGCAGCAAGGGCCGCCTGTTCCTGCTCCGTGTTCTTGAAGCGAAGGCACAGCTCCTTCACCGCGGAAGGAAACAACGGGCTGGAGGACCGTACCTGGCAGGTAGGCAACAGATGCCCAAAGAGGCCCCATTTCAACCTCCCCTAAATTTGGAAACAAGAACTCATCGTTTGAAATAAAAACACACGTGTGCCCCATGGATGTCATACGCATAAAGATCCCTCTGAGGCGCATCCTCCCAGTGCTGCTAACAATACAGCAAAGGAGCTCTCCAAGCTCCATCTGGGCACCAGGTCTCACCCTGCACATCTCTTCACCCGAACACCGCATCCTGGAAGCTCGGCAGGAGCGTGGGAACTCCACCATGCCCGGTGGAGAAATGCCAAAGGGCCCTGCCTGGCTGGCGAAAGACACACAGCACTGAGAAAGGAGAGCCAGAGGACAGCAGAGTTCAGAGGGCGCCGGGAGGCACGTCCAGAGAGAGCATGCGCTGCCTCTTCCAGACCTTGCTATGGCACAGGAGGGAGGAGGAGACAGTGGGAAGGCAGCCCTGGCGAGAATGGCAATCTCTCCTGCTCCAACCCCTACGGTGGGCTTGTTCCCTGAGCCTGCCCGCCCACCTGGAGGAGCCCCTCATTCACCAGGAGGAAACATCAGGCAGGGAAGAGCACCGGAGAGTCCGGTCATGGGGAGCAGCTCCCGACGCTCAATCACCCTTAGACTAGCCGACTGCCGAGCACGCGGCCAGTCGCGCGTGCTGCCTACAGCCTTGTGGCTGGAGGGAAGATGGAGCACGCTGACTTTTCTAATAAGTAACCCAGAACACCAGGGAAGCCAGTACTAAATAATATACTGTAAAACCTCTCAAAATGATTTATAAAGTAGAATCTAAAACAAAATTTTTAGTTCCCACTAGATTTGCTCACTCCCGCAGAGAAAGCTTTTCCTTTTATCTGTGTTATATTACAAAACATATTTCACTAGTTTTTATTTAAGAAACTTCAAAACCAATGCATAATTCAGCAGCACATCAGAACCTGGGTATTACAGAGTGAGAAACTAAAGTTAGTTTTCACTTTTAATAGACAGGGCTTGGCAACCAAATTAATCTAAATGCTTAAAAAACCCCTGCATAGACGAGGTCAGACTTCTCTTCCCCACCGTAGGCTGAAGTCTCATATCCACCCACACGTGGCAACAAGCCCCTGATAAGACAGCTCAGGGCTTCTGGTTAGACTGGTGCAAGGGCTGACTTTTTGTAAACCCAATACTGCTGTTAGATGGGGTGATCTCTGGTATAGGAAGCGACTGATTTTAGAAAAATGGTAGCGTAGTCCAATAGTGAAATGGCAAAACACTCATTATATGGCTAGAAACTCCACTGAGTCCCAAAGATACAAGGAAATGGATATGACTTAATTTGTGAAGTATTGTTATATTCCTTTTAAAGAAAATATGTAACCAATTATATATGGGAGTCTCCAGCAGTTTATGCATGTTTCTCATAACTGATAAAATTCCTAAGATGCTTTCCATCTATTTTTTTAAAAGAAAGAATATCATAAAAAACATCCCTGAGGCCAGGCGCGGTGGCTCATGCCAGTAATCCCAGCACTTTGGGAGGCTGAGGTGGGCGGATCATAAGGTCAGGAGATCGAGACCATCTTGGCTAACATGGTGAAACCCCATCTCTACTAAAAATACAAAAACTAGCCGGGCGTGGTGGCGGGCGCCTGTAGTCCCAGCTACTCAGGAGGCTGAGGCAGGAGAATGGCGTGAACCCGGGAGGCGGAGCTTGCAGTGAGCCAAGATTGTACCACTGCACTCCAGCCTGGGCGACAGCGAGACTCCTTCTCAAAAAAAAAAAAAAAAAAAAAAAAAAAAAAAAAACACACAAAAACATCCCTGGAACAGCTGCCTTATTAGCACAGAATAGAAGAATTACTACTCTACTCTCACTTCAACAAACTTCTCTTTTCTCAAGGTAATATACAGATATGCTGTGATAATTAAAAGAGAAAATTAGATTTTTATCTTCTCCAGAATGATTCTCCACGAGCAATTCATCAGAAATGTGTCACAACAAGAGAGGCCCAAGTCAGTGGCAACAAGCACACAGATTTTCAACACATATTTTAGCAAATGCCCAACTGATTTCCTAAAACGAGAAGCATCAAAAAAGAATGAAATATTTTCTAAAAGGAAGAACTCCAATTCCTTTAGAATTTACTGTCACAAAAAGGGGTTCTTGGCAATTTTGGATTTAAGTGTGAGATACACCTGGAATCATTAACTACAATAAAACGGCAACAGACCCCACAACTGGCTTTAAATGAAATGACGAATCCCTTTTTATACTACTGTATTGAGAGTGGACAACACAGACAAGAATGCTGAAGATCGTTATGGTGGAAGAGAACCTTCCTACCAATTCTTGATTATTTGAAAATAGTTCCTAAAATTCCCAACTTTTGAAAGACATGTTATTACCTTGTGAAGCTGTTTCAAGCCATCTTCGGTTTTGATACAGGACTGTTCAACGTTATAGTCAATTCTATCAAGGACCGTACCCTAGGTAATAAATAACAGTTACAGACAATCAACAATGGCAACTGTGAAAATTGAACATCAAAAATGAGATATGCAAATTACAGACATCAGCATCCATAAGATGATATTTTCTTTCCCTGTATGCTGCAGGTACACACGGAGGGCTCTGGAGTTCACCCTCAATTGGTGTCAGGAGCTTGATGGCAGAGTGCTGGTTACTGCCATCACGTCTAGCTCACGAGAAAGAAGTACTGACAGATTGAGGTTTCCTTATTAGTTTCAGTTACCATAGAATATGCCATATTCAGACTTACTGGGGCCTTAAACAATATATGGTTCAGTGGACAGAGGCTCTGACCAGCACAGAAGCTCTGTGCCCCTTTGCTGTCTACATACTTGGATTCAAGTAAGCAGAGACCACCAGGTAAGCTCGACCCTGTTATGAGTAGACCTGCAAATTGACTATCATGTCTGTAAACGTGGATACACATCTCTATGGGTCAGAGCAGAAAATGGTAAACTCCAGTCTACCACCTAAAATTAAAAATTTGGACTCAAGGGGAAGATGTTTAATTGTTTAATCTCTTAATACAAATTGGAAGAAGTAGACACTGGGTTATGAGGAAGAACAGAGCTTTTATTGGAAACATGTTGGATAAGAAGAGAGAGCAGTTCACTGGGAACCGCTGGAGTAATTAATGTAACTGGATCTTCCAGAGCCTGAACACTCCATTCTGCAGTTGGTTTCAGGGGGATCAGGACCCAAATCCCTGCTGGCAAGATAATAAAATGCCCTAATCAGATTTTAACAGTGAACAACAATTTAATTCTACTTGAAAGCTAGTGGTTCCAATCGCCATTACACAATAACCTGCCAAAATTAGAAGGGAAATCTTCTATATTATCAGAATCATTGCTGAGCTTGGTCAGAGTCAACACAGTCTCTACAGTAGGGTGCTCACATGAGTACCCTCGAGGCATGGGAAGAGAATATTAGAACTTCTATTTATTTTTTATCAAAAAAAGATTAATATTCTTATAGGGAATGACAGTAGCCTATGTATATAATTTTGTAAATACACACATCTTCAGGCTGAGTGTCCCTTATCTGAAATGCTTGAGACCAGAAGTATTTTGGATTGGGGATTTTTTTTAGATTTTGGAATATTTGCATACACATAATGAGATATTCTGGATGGGACCCAAGTCTAAACACAAAATTCATTAATATTTCATATACCTTATATACATGGCTTGAAAGTAATTTTATACTATATATATATATATTTTGAGACAGTTTCACTCTTATTGCCCAGGCTGGAGTGCAATGGTGCAATCTTGGCTCACTGCAACCTCCACCTCCCAGGTTCAAGCAATTGTCCTGCCTCAGCCTCCTGAGTAGCTGGGATTACAGGCACCTGCCACCATGCCCAGCTAATTTTTTTGTATTTTTAGCAGAGACAGGGTTTCACCATGTTGACCGGGCTGGTCTCGAACTGCTGACCTCAGGTGATCCACCTGCCTCAGCCTCCCAAAGTGCTGGGATTCCAGGTGTGAGCCACCGCACTCGGCTACAATATTTTTACTAGTTTTGTGCATAAAACAAAGTTTTGACTGCAACCTGTCACATGAGGTCTTGTGTAGGAATTTTCCACTTGTGGCATCATATCAACACTCAAAAAGTTTCGAATTCTGGAGCATTCTGAACTTCATATTTTCTGATTAGGGATGCTATGTATATATTCATAAACATATGTGTGTGTGTATATAAAATGACAGGTGCACACACACGTTGGGGGAATTGGCTCCAATTTTTTTCCCTGAAAGGAGTACAGGAAAAAGAACGAACAGATAGTATGGCAGGAAAACCTATTCACGAGGAAGGCCAGCTCACATACCTGTTCTACAATCATCGCTCCTAAGTCCCTGAATATTTCATTCAGGTCAGAAATGGATTGTACAATCTGGCGAATCTCTCGTTCCCGCTCTTCCACCATCAGTGTGTTCTGCTCCACCAGAACTAACTGGTCATCTGTAAAACCCTAGCAAAATAGCGCACAATTTGTTGGATAGATTGTTTTCCCCTCTCAGGAAAGCTATGGTGTACTTGTTTAGATATAATTTAAAGACAATAATTTAAAGAAAATGAATTCTGAAAATATTTCTACAAAGCACATAAATAATAAGCAAGCACTTATTTTTCCCTAACAGGAAAGATTCAAACTCCCTAAGCCAGCAGGATCTAAAGCTCTGAGGCCATAGCAGGGAAGACAGAAGCCCACGTCTGCAACTCTGCAAGGGCAGATAAACAAAACCCCTGGGATAGCCCTCTACTTCTCTGGGCCCTTCCTAAGAAGGCAGGGTGTTGACCACTTTCCCAAAGGCTCTGGAAAGCAGATTACAAGGTCTCTCTGTGGCCTTTGGAAAGGAAGAAACAGTATGGCTGTTCTTCCACCTGCTGCAAAAACAACTTGATGAATATACAAGTCAACTGTACCAATCCATTGACACTGTGCAGAAGTTCGAGGTCTAGGAGGAGAGAGCAGCAGAATGGGGTGCACAGACACAGTAATCAGCTTTGCAGCCACTCACATACCCGATGGTAAAGAGTATGATCGTCTCCATCATCCACTAGTGGTACTGATGTGTCGAAAAAATGCTGGGATCTTTCCTCTCGATTCTTCATGCCTACCACAGATAGGAATTCACCTTACTTGAATATGTAGACCATCCTGGGTATTGTTCTACCATTAAAAGGGGGAATTCTAGAGTAAACTCCAACAGTCAAAATTGAGATATTCTTAGCCGCTTTAAAGAAGCCTAACTCCAATGGGGGTGGAGGGAGAGTAAAGAATTACAAACATACAACAATATGCAGGCATTTGGGATTATTCAAGACAAAGTCACAGTGTAAATGTGCACAATTCACTTGATGCCAAGACAAAAATGACACAACCATCTGAGAATTTCTAAGTGAAACAGAAATATTTAATCTAACTGCTGTTACAAAACATTAAAAAAAAATCAGTGTTTCTCTCTAGAAGCATCTCTAATAAGAATTCCATATGGCCCTAATCAAATTTTGGAAGTAATAAAATTAAAATACAAATGTGCCAGTTGTCAGAGGGAGGGTGAACTGAAGTTTTTTTTGGAGTATGTGGGGACTTTATTGATTACAATGGCAATTTTTAAAAAACCCAGTTTACAGGGTGATGAGAATAAGAAGAGAGCTGAAATCTGGCTTTGCACTATTTGGGAAGGAAAGGTCTGTTGGGTGAAACCCATGGTGCCAGCAGAGGAAGTGTTTCAAGAACCCTGGGGAGGGTTTCTCAGGCGATCTCCAACACTTTGGTTGTTATGCAAATACGTGGCTTTCAGTAATAACAACTGCTTTTTACCTACTGAAGAGCAGCTCTCCCAAACCCCAACATCTAGAAAACAACAGGTTTTTAAAATGTGCTTGATTTTCAAATTCTTGCAGCTTGACACAAAACAAATTTTGTTTGCTGAGATGCTGAACTATCTTGGTGCCCTCCCCCAGCCTTGGTTGGTACCCCACGCTGTGCCTTCATTCCAAGCCAGGGTTTCACATGAGGAGGAGGCTTCCCTTTATTGCATAAGGTGTGAACATGTTCAAAAGGTAACAATGAAAGGTATTGGACTAAATGAAAAATTAGTCGCAAAAAAGAAAACATAAAGTGCTTTTCTTACTCAAAATCCCTTCACTAGGCCCGGGCAGCACTCACGTTTGAGGTAGCCCGACTGTGCGTGCCGGAAGCTGGTGGAGAGTTCCTGCAGGGCCTGCGCCAGCGAGGCCACCACGTTCCCAAGCAGCCGCCCCTCCTGCTCGGAGCAGGCCCGGGCCCGGCTCGGCAGGGCCTGCACGGCACGCTGGCACCTGTGGAAGAGCTAAGAGAACAAGCCCGAGGCTCAGGGCAAGCCTGGGAGAGAAGCCCCTCTGCTAACACTGCCATCATCACAAGCCAGAGAGAGAAGTGAGAGGCTCTGTTCACTCAGGCTGGTTTAGAGAAAGGTGAACAGATAAAAGGAATCTGTGGCTTAATTTATACACACAGAAAGATTTCACTAGATTTCAGCTCCTGCCGTGTAAGGCCTGCTGTGTGCCCAGCTGCTCACGTATCACGTTAGACAGGCTGAGTATCCCTCATCCGAAATGCTTGGGATCGACAATGTTTAGGATTTCAAATTTTGGGAGATTTTGGAATATTTGCAGAATACCTACTAGTTGAATACCCCAATCTGAAAATTCGAAATCCAAAATGCTCCAATGAACATTTCCTTTGAGTGTCATATTGGCACTCAAAAAAAAGTTTCAAATTTTGGAGCATTTTGGATTTCAGATTTTCAGATTAGGAATGTTCAACCTGTATTATCATATATCATATTATTATTGCATTCCTCTCATTTAATCCCTAACAAGCATCCTATGAGGATGGTACTATTATTATTAGTCCCATTTTACAGATGAGAACACTAGAGTCAGAGGGATTAAATGAGAATCATGTAACTGTTAAACTGATAAGAGTCAGGTTTCAAACATTCCAAAACCCCAGGGCTTTTCTCAAAGCACCATATTCCTCTGATAATTAGCACCCAGGAGACTTAAGTAAAAAATGTAAACACTGAAGTTTAAACACTAGTCCTATTATTTTAAAATTAATCAAATTTAGTATTTTATAAAAATTTTTTCTAGGCTACTAAGTTGCTTTTTCAATTATGAGGACTATATTTTAGCATTAAAATTTCTTACCACTAGTATACGATATTAGCTATACATTTTAAAATCAAAAGATTGAACTCGATAATGTTTGAAATTTCATATTTACTTTATTACTTTATCAGTCCACAGTAGTATCTGCCAACAATTGAAAAACAGTCCCCACACCTCCAAGGCCTCACAGGTACCTACGCTGACAGTTGGAGGACTTCTGGGCCTACTGAGGTCCCTTTGAGAACTTCGGGTTGGGAAATGAACTCCAGGAGACTGACTTTGAGTAACACTCTAGTTTCTGAGATTGCCATGAGAAGGCTCACTGGTTTCCCCAGGACTCACTTGCACTCCTCACCTGAGTAATCTCTTGGGTAGTTATCTCAATGGCATGTTCCTCTTCACTGCTGTCATCCAGGGTGGGTCTGTTTAAATGCTTGTCATGAAGGCTGGCCAATTCTTTCATCTTCTGCTTAATCCGGCCAACATCATACTGAATCTAAGCAAATGAAGTCACAGAACTCCACTGATGCCAGGCAAGCTATTGGTCTGCCTCCGAGACAATCAGCTACACTCAGCATACAGAATTTGGTCTTCAGCAAACTTGTTGGCTTGCTGATGTGTGAGCAGCTTTAATTCAAATTACCAGAAAATCACATAGCATTCTTCCTTGTTGCATGGTTTTCAATTTATTCCTATAATTCAGGTAGTTACTACCAGTGTTAAAACTAAAGCTAAAATCATTAACACACACAAAGACAACTTAACCTGAAGTATTTCTAGAAATATACATTCAAGTGCGGCCAAATTCGTTTATATGACAGATATCTTAAAATACATTGTCATAATTACTTAAAAAAACAAGATGGTATGAAACTAACATGCAACTTACTTCATCCACTCCATCCACCCATTTAGGAGGTGACCGTTTTGTCACACCAATTGCTGCTTCTGGATCTAAGCTGATGCCTGACACAAGTGCCATACGGTCATCAGCAAGCTACAGGAAAGTAAAGGGACAGGAAAAAAATTATTCCAATCTAATTTAGATACAAATACTCTTACTCTCTTAAATGTTGCTCCCTGAAAAGATACAGAAAGGAGTGAATGTTTACTCTCTCTTAAATGTCGCTCCTTGAAAATATATAGAAAGGAGTGAATGCACTTGCCTGTGTTATAAACTTGCTTTTGATAACTGCTAGGATTTGGATTGTTCAACTATCTTTTCATGCACCAGCTCTTAATTTCCTTGGATATACTTGAGAACGTGAATTTGACTTGATCTGGCTATAGAAATGTAATGAAAAAGTCAACAATAGATCCTTAAAATAAATACCTCTTAGTACTAGTACTGTGATAGAACCGCAAGAACCGCAATGATTCGTGTGATCAGTTACAAGTGGAAAAAAAAACAAAACTAGGTGGTAAATGAAACAACTACAAAATGCTCAATAGTAGCAAGGTTTACTTAAATACACTTAGCTTATTTTGGAAAGAGGGCTGATCCAGTTATCTCAGTCACACAGTCATTAACCACGTGTTAAGATGTGTGAAACAACTGCCTAAAACTGCTAGCAAATTATCTACCATTTGGCAAAAGCAGTCCTTAAGATCTCAATGCAATCTTACACTGTCATTTCTTTTCTTCAGTTAAATGTCCATAGGCAACATTTCCCCTTATTTTGAAATGATATCGATGGTTCTTGTTTATTTTAACTATATAAGACACTGCTGTAGAAAGCTTTTAAGAATGGGAGGGAAATTGGGTGGGTGTGGTGGCTCACGCCTGTAATCCCAGCACTTTGGGAGGCCAAGGCGATCACCTGAGGTCAGCAGTTTAAGAGTAGCCTGGCCAAAATGGTGAAAACCATTCTCTACTAAAAATACAAAAATTAACTGGGCATAGTGGCTTACACCTGTAATCCCAGCTACTCGGGAGGCCGAGCAGGAGAATCACTTGAACCCAGGAGCGGAAGGTTGCAGTGAGCCATGATTGTACCATTGTACCATCGCACTCCAGCCTGGGCAACAAGAGCAAAACTGTCTTTAAAAACAAAACAAAACAAAACAAAAAAAAACCGGGGAGGGAAATCATGGGTTTGGCATGGTTAAGCTGTTTTCTTGCCTGCAGGCAGTGAATCGGTTGAAAAGCTCTTGAGGTGCCCTCCAGAGCTCAGAATTTTTAAATGCCAATTTCAAAAGATCCAAATGATGATCAAAGTATAATGGAAAATAATCTATAAAAGTCCTTTATAGATAATACTTTGGAAATTTTCTAAATCACACTGTAGAGTTGGGTGAAAAATTCATACTGCTTTTCTTCCCTCTTCCTTGCATTTATCTAAATTTATTTTTTCATTCATTAAATACTTATTTCCTTTTCTGATAATAAAGGAACAAGACAAAATTTTAAAATCCACAGATGAAGGGGGAAAAATGTCATATAAAGAAAAACTTAAGATTAAAAGAACACTTCAAGTAATAGGCCCTAAATCCTAAAATTTTACCTACAGTAAAATTCTTAAAAGCAAATTGGTATCTTCACCATCAACCTCCCTGCACACCCTGGGGTGGTTCTGCCACCATCTGCTTCAGGCTTTCTGTGTGCTCTGGGGCATGTGTCCACTCAGGGAGCACATCTTGGGCAATGACCATGCTGGACGGACCAGGCCCCATTCACTAATCCCAGTGCATCCAGGAGCCGTGATTAAGCCCACTGGTGCTCCAGCACGGCAGGATGCTCCAGGGCCAGTGTCATTTCTTAAACAAATGGTGTGTCATCCAAACCTGCACTGTTTCGGGCTCCCAGGCCGTGAAGTGGTAATTCTCTACCACCACCACGTTCTGTTTGGTTTTAAGCGTTCACCAATAGGAATTTTACGTTCTTGACATTATTTTAATCCTCACAAAAACTAGGTGAGCTAGAAACTATGATTCTAACCTATAAATATGGAAATTGAAACTCAGAAAAGTCGCTTGCCCAAGGTCACAGGGCTATTATGTGACAGACTGAAACCTGGGTCGGCTGACTCCAAAAACCCCTTCCACCCTCAAAGGTGCCAATCACTCCACAGGCCCATGAACTATAACTGCAATTTGCTAAGAAAATGAATCAAGACAAGCCATCAGATTAAAACAAGAAAATATAGTAGTTTGATTCATTTCCCACCTACTACACCAGGGACTATAGGATAGGCCCCCAGTGAGTGACGTTAAGTGTCAGTAAAGATCACCCTCTCTTCCTGACCATCCGTGGGCAGAGAGATGCAGACCTCACCCTCTACAGCGCAGGCACAGAGGAGGCCAGTGTCAAGCAATCAGAGGAAGACTTGTTTATTCCTCAACAACTCCTGCTCCAAAGTCACCAAGAGGTACACAACTCTGTGGGAGACACACTGACTAAAAAGCAGGGGGACAAACCACAGGCCCAGCTCCCAGCACCTGCCAGCCATACATCAGGTGCTGTCTATAGGTACTGCTGGACTGGAACAGAACTTGAACTCCAGCTGTTTATACAAAGTAAAATCTAAAATTGCTAAAGTACCTCTTCATGAGTCCTAGAATTTCTACCACACCAGTTTATTATCGAATCCACTATATTTTATTATTACACATTTCAATACAGTAATTATTTACAGTGATTTTATAATTTTTAAACTCATGATCTTACTTTGTACTGTTTTTACTGTTTACAAATACGTATTACACTAAAGAAGACAGAGAGATGGTATCTATCTAAATTTACCTGCATTGGGATTAGCATCATTTTATCCAAAACAACAAATTATAAACCACATTATGAAAAGTCAGTTGAAGTGAATACAACTCTTTGAAGTAGTACTTGATTTTATGCATGTGTTCCCCCCAAATTAGATGTAAATCAAAAGTGGGGAGAATACACTCTTTGTTAAGGGTCCTAAGGTAGCTTGATAATTAAGAGATCCCTACACGAAGGGCACGGATGCCAGCCCGCTCAGCTGGTATAGCTTTCCCATACACTCTATCAGGGTTTTGCCAGTAAGATAGAACAACTGATTCTTTGGGAGTGAAAACTTTAAATAGCGAATAATTTGTCTCTTTTATGACACAGTCTATAGCTATAGTTCATTATGATAAAGAAATACCGCCCTATTGAGAAGAAGTGTGTCATTTCTTTTATCAGTATGGATTTGTAATGTGTATCACAGTATGTACTATTAAAAAACAAGACAGTATGTTTTGGGAAGGGAAAACAATTGTTGAAGATAAACATCAACTATTTGAAATGGGAACAAATATGGACATAAAAAATTTTTATGTGCAAAATAAACACCCTTTTAATTTCAGAAACTTCACTTCCCATTTAAAAACATGTCTTCTTATTTGTTGAAGATCTAGCACATATATCAATTTTCAAGTTGTCATCCTATTTCATTCAGATCTTAAAAAATGGCCAGATTTCTAATTCTCTTCACTTACCCCTGCTGAATTTCAACATGGTGGCCCCTCTAAATATATGATGTTGGTTACTAAAGCTTTTTTAAAAATAAGTTTGTGCGGCCAGGCGTGGTGGCTCACGCCGGTAATCCCAGCACTTTGGGAGGCAGAGGCAGGCAGATCACCTGAGGTCGGGAGTTCGAGACCAGCCTGGCCAGCATGGTGAAACCCTGTCTCTATCGAAAATGCAAAAATTAGCCAGGCGTGGTGGCATGCACCTGTAATCCCAGCTACTCAGGAAGCTGAGGCAGGAGAATCACTTGAACCCGGAAGGCAGAGGTTGCAGTGAGCCGAGATCGCGGCAATGCACTCCAGCCTGGGTAACAGAGACTCCATCTCAAAAAATTAATTAATTAATTTGTGCTTCTGAAGTAAAAAAATCTTTCCATATTTTTTAAATAAAAATTGTACTTAAGAGAATTAAGAACTCTTGTCTCTTTGATATGTAGTTCCTCTCTCCAAGAACTACTGGGGTCTGCTACCCTAACCTAGAGCCATCCTTCCTGAGAGAAATGCAGAAAAAATCCAACAGATGTTCAAAACAGCACACCCAATGGCTTTCCTGCTAGTCTCACCAAAGGTATCTTTTGCCTTTGATCCACTTTAGATGTTGACATTTGTCCCTTTAAAGAGTACCAGCCAGTATGGACCAGTTGTCCACCTATGGAAGGAACATACACACTCTCTCTTATAAATCTTGCTGTTCCAGATCTACAGCCCTCCTACTCTTAAAACCCCGCCTTTCCCTGAAGGCTGATTTAGTGTAGCCTAAGATTACAGAAATAGCAAAGCCTCTGCGGAGATTGGAAAAGTCAGATACACCTCTTCCCCATCTAAAAAAATCAACTAAGCTTAACCATAACGCATTGGTAATGAGAACAATACTGATAATTCTGGACTGTCTATGGCAATGAACACTAAACAAGTCCAGAAGGGACACTGAAAATCAACAGACTGGCAACTCATGCTTCCACATGAAACTCTGGGAGCCTGTATGATGAAGTCAGACCACTTTGCTAATAGACAATTAGGCTTAAGAAATCCGAGTTGTTGGAGAAGGGAATAAGCATGTAGATAAAAGAAAAAAGTGATGTCAGCACTACATTTTTCTAAACCTGTGATAATTTTAAAATAATGCTTACCTTTTCTGATTATGAAATTAATAAATGGTCAAAATAAACACTTTTAAAATGGTATAGGATGGTGCAGTGGCTCACACCTGTAATCCTAGCACTTGGGAGGCGAAGGCGGGTGGATGACTTGAGCTCAGGAGTTCGAGACCAGCCTGGGCAACATGGCAAAACTCCGTCTCTACTAAAAAATACAAAAAAAAAAAAAACCCCAAAAAACCGAAAACAGCCAGGCATGGTGGCACGCACCTGTAGTCCCAGCTACTCAGGAGGCTCAGGCAGGAGAATCGCTTGAAACCGGGAGGCAGAGGTTGCAGTGAGCCAAGATTGCGCCACTGCACTCTAGCCTGGGTGACAGAGTGAGACTCTGTCTCAAAAAAATAAACAAAAATAAATAAAATGATACAAAAAATATAGAGATAAAAACACTTGAGAATCACATCATCCTGATACTGTTGTCAGTTGCACTGATTTTCCTTTTTTCTCAACTAACATACATACTCTGAGGGGGAGAACAAGGAAGGGAGCAATCCGTTCCTCTCTGCCTTCTGTGAGCACTGTACTGAGCACTGCTACTGACCTGGCCCACGCCAGTTCCAACAGCAATCCTTCAGAGGGGCGCCGCTCCCTATTTCACCAACATGGACACTGGGGCCCGGCCCAGGCACTCTCAGATGTGCACCAATCAGCCATCCTCCAGGCAGTGTGGTTTGGGGGCTCGATATTTGTATCTTGTGACTTTTAAAATAATTCTTACCTTGAATTTAAAAACTCCCAAACTTGGGAGATTTCTTTGTCATAAGACAGGAAGTAGATTAAAGATAGAGAACACAGGAGAGGGCCAGACACTTCCCTGGGTGAGAGAACCAATGGTGGGCTCGGCTTCCTCCTCAGGAACACCTTACTTAGTGTTTTCTGAGAAGGAAAAGTGACATCTCCAGGGGACTCAGGCTAGAGGAGGAGAATGACAATCAAACATGGAGAGACCGCAGGAAGCCCCTGAAGTGGGGCCGTCGATGCCTTCACCCTGGGAGATGCGGGTGATACGCACTCAGGGACATTTGTTCAGGCCTCACCTATAAAGGGGTGGCTACTATCTAATCCACTCCGGAGCTGGGCGTTTACTATTTCCAGAGACGCCAATGTGAGGCCTTGCTTCAGCTTCAAAGAAGCCTCTGGACACTGTCCCCAACCACACCCCCAGCTCCTAGGCCAGTACCTGGCACATCAGAGTCCTGAACGCACAATCACAGCCAGCTGAGTGAGCCGACAAGAAACGAGTGGAATAAATGAATGAGGTAAATAAAATGTACGTCACAGACAATTGTGGAAGCCACACTTCATGAAAAAGATAATGGTGCTGGACAAAAGAGCAAAAGGGGCAAGTGAAACGCACAAGGAAATGAGGTGGCTGTGGGCACCCACGATGAGGCAGCAACCTGCATTTCTAATAGCACTGGGGTGCGCATGGAGGAGATAGTGCTCTCTACGCAGGGCCTCTGATCACGGAGCATGAAGACTCCCTTTTAAGCCCTTAGAGGTGAAGCATAAGAAAAGCAAAAGGGCCTGCCAAGTTCATGCAGTGAGTAGCCAGTTTCTAGAACTTGCTGCCTGAAAAAGGAAGTAGGAAAGACTGGAAATCGGTTCAGACAGCAGACCCCGAAGTAATTATGACCATTTATGTGCCCCTCCTTGGAACATTATTCAAATGGTTCTTCAACCTAAGTGGTTCTATAATTTGTTACCCTCCCCCACACCCTATACACTTCCTTTTGAGGTCAGAAGCTCCATAGCTTCAAACTGTTCAGCCAATAGCAACACCTATTTTAACTCAGAATGCCTGCTCTCCAAGCTCCCAAGCCTTAACATTTTTAAAGATTGATCAGCAAAGCCACCCACGTCCACTGTGCTCCAGAGATCCCTACCTTCATGTGTGTGAGCTGGGCCCTCTCCAGTGCCCAGTGCCCAAGCAGGGAGCTGGCGGTGAGGTTCCTGAATGGGAAAGGAAACCCCCACGCAGGCATGACCATGACACCTGGCTCAGTCAGCTACCAGTTAAGTGGGTTTTTTTTTTTTAAACTAATTGTTTTTAGTGGCAAAGTATACATGCACATGGTTTAAAAATATATATGCACCCTAAGAAAAGAGTTTGTAATAGAAAGGAAGTTTTTCTTCTATCTCAGATGTTTCTTGGGGTGTATCCACTGTTAACAGTTTCTTGTATATCTTTTCAGGAATTTTTTAAGCACACACAAGCATAAATATGAGTTATTTTTTCCTGAAAAAACAAAACAAAAAGGAGCAGGAATCACATTATCCATGCTACTCTGCATCTGGGTCTCTCCACTCTGCCATGTGTCTGGGGCTCATTCCACTGCAGCTCTCATGGATGGGCCTCACTATTTGCCTGGTACAGAGGGTCAGAGATGCTACACGATGTATTTAACCAGCTCCCAACGACAGCTATTTAGGCTGTGCTCAGTCTGTTGTCATTATCAACTAGTTAAGGTTTTTAGAATATATAGGTAGATCTGAATCTAATAGTTAGGACCCTACTGGTTTTAAGGACAGTGATCCTAATCCTACTTTACTGTTCATACTTCTAAATGAAAACAAACAAGAACAACCCTCACTTCTCCATCACTCTATACTCAGGAAAAATATTCTTACCCCTTCAATGCTGAAAACAGACAATAGACACAAACATTAACAACAGTTTTCATCTCATTTTTTCTCAACCCGTTTACTAGGGCTACTAAAATAAAGTGCTTTGAATATATACTCTCTCCACCTTCTGGGCAAGATGCTACTAGCTAATAAAAAGGGCAAAGGCACCCCCAGCTAGGAGATGCAGAACTGGGCCCAGGTGACAACAGCTTCAGGTGCATCCACTGGGTGTCAACTCATTCCAGACAGGAGTGACAAGGAAGACCCTCCCACAGTTGCCGTGGCTACAGTCCTTCTCTCTTAGGGCCTTCACAGACACGCTGGTCTTCTATACTGTCTACCTGAGCAAGTGCACCACTCACCTCTCAGAAATCAGGAAGCTACAGACATTAATTCCCGAAACGTTCTGGCTTCCTTGAAGAAAGTGTTCAACCTTTTTACTGCTTCCAAAGTTGAGACACTTTCCCAAGAGTAATAAACAATCTTCCCAAAGCCTTTTTCAAATCATCAGTTCACATGGTGTGAAAATATATTAAATTCTACATATTAAACTGTTAAAAAAATTAGAAAATAATCAAAACAAATGCTAAATATTTATAAGCTGTTAGCATTTTATATATGAGCAAAGACTTCAGGAAAAGCAGGTATTTTATAATCTCAAATTACCCAACATATAAAAATATTCAAAACACGATACCTCGTCCAGCTCCTGAAGAGACATGTTGTTCCCATCAGTCCCATCCAGTTAGGGAAAGCAAAAAGAAAGCAGCATGGGACAGACAGACAAGGCATGGTCAGTTGAGAAAACACTGAGATTTTAAGCTAACTAAATATAAAGATCCACTAAGCAAGGTATTTTAAAATCTCCTTTTGATTCTTCTTTTTTTAAAATAAGCTACATCAATATATGCTTTTATTTTTATTTACCGCGGTTGTTTTGAAAATGAGCTAAGAAACAAGCAAAACATGATTGTAAATATTAAAATACACTGGAAACAGATAAAACACACTTGCTTTGGTTTCACTAAAATATGCTGTTAATCTGTTTCATAAACACCAAATATCACATACAATACCACATTCTAATTTCCCTTAGGAAAATAAAATGAGAGCAGAGCTAAAATGTAATTTTATCATGTTAAATAAATGTATATTTTAACATGTAAATCAGACCTGCAAATGCAACAAAATTAAAAAATGAACGACCCACAGAAACTGTCTGTAGCCGTATTCAGATAACATGTGAGTGACCACACATGCAAGGTCTCTGCAAATTACATTCCGCAGACACGGCTTCATCCCTGGTAGTAAGAGAGCTGAGAAACCACTCTTTCCCGGAGAGAGACACAGGTGGCAAAATAAAAGAAAAACTCTTACCATCTCTTGGTATGTATTATTATTAGCTAGAAAGCGTACAGTTATTCATAAAGCTCTTATAAAAGCAAGCAAACGAGACAAAACAAAAGGTAAGAATACATTTTTTCTTTTAAGGGGAGTGGGAAGGGAGAAGCATGACACCAGAGGGTTAAGTTTCAATTGAAAACTAACGGTTCTTTTTTAGATCAACATGGAACTCTATCTTCTGGACAGACATTTACTAATGACAGATAATCTAAACAACTAGCTCTTTTTTTTGTACAGTATTGATCACTGAAATAATTTGTGGTGAAATTCAATAATCAATTGTGTTTTTTTATGTTTAGCAGTAAATTTAGAAAATAAAAAAACAACTTCCTTATTTAAAAATAGTGCAAATGAAGCTGCTGTATCAGGGCCAAAATATTATTAAACAATGATAGCAATAAAAATGTAATCAAACTTTACTCCATGTAAAAATTCAATTAGATGACATTATGGAAAGCTGCAAATCCTCTTCATTCCTTCTACAATTTTCTATGAGAGCAAAAGAGAACTCTATACACACCCTGCCATAATAGTAGTACTAGACGATATTAATAAAGATAGTATCAAATGGAAATCTGATTTAATTACCTTTTACTTCACAAAGAAAAAATGTTTTTATTTTTTAAAAGCTTAACATTAAGAGAACATTAAAATCTTTTATTAATAAAACATGATGCAAGACAAAACCCCTAACTTGAGTATCTCAGTCTTCTTACTATTCTGCAGCGGCTCCCTGGCATTTAATCTGTGAACGATGTACTACTGCAAACCTCGGTTAAAATCTCGGCTGCACATGTGCCTATGCTCTTGGATTATTAACCGAGCACACACACCCTGATCTTCTGATTGCTACAATTATTAATTGATAAGAGGTGAAATCTGAATCATGGGATTCTAGGGCTAGAAATAACTCTTTTCTTACAAATAAGAAAACTAAGCTTCAAAATGTATAAATGCATTGCTCGAAGCCACAGACCTTGTTAATGGTCAGACCGGGGACAGACCCAGGTGTTCAGGTCTCTTTCCACCCCACCCTCCAGCCTCTCTAATTTTATTAACAATTCAGGGAATTACTTGTAAAGGCAGCTACCACCACATCAGGAATATTAAATTAAGGTCACCTTTTCAAAGACCCTCCCCACCATTCTGCTACTTAAAAATAGAAGGCTTTCGAAGCTCTGCTTGCCACCAAATTACCAGGAAATTTAGTCAAGACCTGAATTAAAACATTTAGAATTACCATCAGGAAAGACCAAAATAAAGCCAAATGAAAACACATTACTACACATCATCACCTTCTAAATCTTTATGTCTAAATCTAGGTTTTTGACCTGCCAATGGCATGCAATCAAGCAAATACTGAAAACTCCAAGTAGCATGTGGAATTTATAGTCTAAAGAACTTTCTACATAAAACTGAAAAATCAGTGGAAACCCATCTGTGTTTACTCAGGAAGTCTGGAAAAGTTGAGCAAAATGAGTTGGAAACACAGGTCTATACTATAGTGATATTTACTTTATTTCCGTTACTGCCAAAATAAAAGTTTGCTTCACTTTTATCCAACAAAGTACCCTTATTCTCAAAGTAAGCCTCACTGCTCCCATGGAATCTTTAAAAGCAGAAAAGCAAGTAGATCTAAAGAGAAATATATAATGATTTCATACTTGGATCCTAAAGACAGAGAACTAATTTTCCAACAGACTCAGCTTGTACTAAAACTTAGAACCTTCAATCTGCAAGTTAAAATTGACTGTGTAAGGTTTGTAAAAGTGAGATAAAGAAAGATGCTAGCCTCTTGCAAGAAAAAAGAAATTGTTTTTAAACAATAGGTCCTTCCATTTTCCAGGATCTGCAACACAAGTTCTGAAAATGCAGCCAACACCAGAGTGGCCCAGGAGGTGAGCACGGGGCTCTCAAGCCAGGTTTGCCAGAGTTCCAGTCACAGCCCCCAAACCATCAGGTGGGTGATGCTGGGCCAGTTTCCTACCTCCTCTAAAATCTGTTTCCTTATCTGTATCTGAGAAAAACAATAGTACTTACTTGATAGAGCACTGTGAAGACAGCCAAGCTTGCACATGGAAAGGGCTTAGCCCAGAGTCAGGCACAAAGTAAACTCTCTATAAATCTTAGCTAATATTGTAGTCAAGCCTGAATAAGAACCTTAGATTTCTTATAACCATAGTTAATCTTTAATTTCTTTTTTTTCCTAAAGCACACATTTTATTAAAAATAATGTGCTTAAGTTTCAAACTAATGTAAGACCAATTAACTCTAGCTTCCAATTATAGATTATGCATTATTTTAAAGCAGAGTATAGATTAGGCAGTAAACACTAAGAAAGTAGCTCCAACCCCTATATTAGATCCATTCCCAGGGATCGAAGGAAACCACACAAATCCATACAGAATTTCATCAGATCAGAAGAGCATCTCAATATCTACCTTTCATTCGTTTCTTTAAGACTTTACAATTTTTTTTGAATGATTGTTTAGCTTCATAAATCCATTTCAGTTTCCTAAGGCAAAGCTGCTTGAATGAGTTGCTACCTTAAAACCTGCACTTGGCTGGCATAATAATGTGAAAGTTACTTTTGCATGGTACTGGTAGGCTACTTCTAAGGATTTCTGTCAGTAACCTTGGACTGACAGCCACAAAGCTGTTGACTATGAATTCCTCCTTTTCAAATTAAAGCTAAAGTCAGGAGAAACAATGTATTAAAACAGAACTTGAGAAAATACTGTTGAATCCATAGGGCTGGAAATCATCTAACTCAAACCCCTCAGTTTACAAATGAGGCAAAAGATATCCAAAAAGATTAAAAGCTTGCCTAAGGACACACTCTGAGCCTGCAGCAGAACAGGATTTAGGCCTCAATTCTCAGATTCAATTCTCAGTGCTCCTTCCTTTATTTCATGCTGCCCTGAGGCATGAACGTGATGGGGCACTCAAAACTGAGGCCAGAGCAAAATGCATGGGAAATACAACTGCATTTTGTTAGGAGTATATAAAGTCAAACCCGTCTGTTTTTAACAATCAGTTTTACTAACATTAATACAACTAAGAACACAAAAAAAGTAGAATTTTGTTCAGTTCTGGGTGCTGAACTTTAAAAAGGATACAGAAAAACTAAACATCACTTATAGGAAAGAAACGTAACCACTCTAAGCCGGGACTGCTAAGCCTGGAAAGAACTCTAGGTAACAAGGCTGCAGGGTTACCAGACAGAAGGAAGACCCGAAGGAACAGAACTGAAAGCAGGACCCCAGGACACAAACAGTTGGGATTAACAGGCAAAGACTTTTTAGTGGTAAAAATCGTGGAGCTGCTGGCATTTTCCATCATAGTCACAGAACATGGCCAAACAAGACAGGCATAAGGGGTTATCACAAACGGGTACACTAGGCCAAATGACCTTTAGGTCCCTTCTGGCCCTTAAGGCTTTGTGTTTATCTGGTCACTGCCTATCCTCCTTAAATTCCTGTTTATTTGACGTATTTGCCTGAATGGTGCAAAACCCTGTATGCACGCACAGGTACACACAATAACCCCACTACAACAACCAAATTCTAGTTTTTTCCCTCAAACTAGGATGCAAAAAATGCATGTTTAAATCTTTTGAATGACATGGCTAAAGCCATGACATGGCTAAAGGTGTGCTTTGCTTTGAGGTGTAAGAGACATACTACTCTGCAATTAATTTCTGCAGCTTTTTCCTGAAATAAAGATGTCAAAATTCAGGGTTATAATTTTTTTTTTAAGTCTGTTATTTTAGGTGTATTTTTAGTTGGTATCAAATGCATCAAGATCAAAGTCTACAGCTTTTTCTTCTAATTAGAAACTTAAAATTCCAGGTTATTATTTTTTAAATTAAGTTAAACTCAGGTTTAGTTTCTTCCTTTCAAATTGCCTGAGTGTTAGATATATATTTACAAATTGTCTCTTTTTAACTGTTCTACTTTACTATAACGAATATACTTAAGTTTCTATTTAAAAATTTTCAAACATGTAGAAAAGCCTACAAAATTACGTAAAATGTCCCCCACATACTCATCACTAGACTCAACAATGAGTAACAATTTGCCTTATTTGCTTCCTCTGTTTTTGGAGGGGTTTAAGGATTTAGGTAAGACACCTTGACATTTCACCACTAAACATTTTAGTAGGCATCTCTAGTAAAATTAGCAAATGTAGTGTATTATAATTAATTTAATTAATTCTTTAATGTCACCTAATACCTAGTCCATATTCAAAATTTGACAGATACGGTATTGTTTGGTTTGCTACATGGCTTTGAAATTTACAAATCAGAAACAAGGCTTTAAATTTTTTATAAGCTAGATATGCAGTGAAAAGCATTGCTAAGAGTTACTCAATACAGTTTTTACAAATTGTGTTAGACGTGGCTTTTGCTTCAAAACGTTTATAAAGCTTTTCCAACTTCCAGATAAGTTGAAAAAAATCATAACCTCTATGTGGTCTTGTTAGCATTTCGCCGTATTGTGTGCAGAAATAGATTTGGTAAGATCACCTGTAAGCAAAGTGAAGACGTAACACTTCAACCCTAAATACTTCAGAAATTTATGACATGCCATTTTTTTAAACACAACTAAAATATATAAATCTGTGTTTTCTTTTAAAATTTTAATTCAGGAAAACTATGTTTGTTAGACTGCAAAACCTATTTTTTAAACAGTATGAATTGACTATAAGGATATTTTAAATGATATGGCTGCTTTCAATGATCTGAGAAAGATTTTAAATGGTCAGACTAATACAAATATTAACATTTTCAATGGCATGACATTTAGAAAACATTTTTTAATGTTCTGACTTAGAAATATATTTTTAGTTGGGTTTAGAAATCATTTTCAAAAAACTGTGAGTTAGGTAAATATATCTGTATATACCCTGACGTATCTATTTTTCCAAACTGTATACTTTAGCTATCCATTTTTAGTTATTTTGCTTAGCTTAAATATTTTTTTTAAATTGCCTAACTTAGAAAATAATTTTCTAAAGTGGTTTGATTCAGAGAAGGACTTTTAAAAAGCTTCCTGTCTCAGATACTAGGTTTTTAAACCGTCTGACTAAATGGGGGAAAAAAAAAAACAAAAAAAAAACCCCTCATGTTACCCAAAGGTTCAGGGTATTTTGAACCTTAATGATTAAAAATTGAAAAATAAACAATATGTTTTTCAATCAATTAAAACTGATACCTTAGAAATCTTAATATCAGTTTCAGTTGTTTTTGAGGCAGCACAAAAATCAAGTCATTTAAGGAACATGTAGTTCTTATTTAACATTACTGAAGTACCATTAAGGAATTGTATTCATCCAATTGCTACTCAATTTCTTGGCTTATTTTTTTCTTCAAAATTAGCGCTAGAATTAGCCCGTTTCTATGCTACCAGACATCTTTACATTTATTTCAATATAATGCCATTCCTTTCAGTTTATAAATGTAAAACCCTTCAACTTCTTAATTGAAATCTCACACACACTCTGTCCCTGTTTCTAGGCTTTTTGACCTGAGCTTACATGCTTTTATTCCTGAAACCGCTCATATGGCTTAAAATCACTTTTCTATCAGTTATATGGCCAAAGACATTCTCCACTTGTGACTTACAAAAAGGAGAAACTGTCTTTGTAGACATGATAATCATGACATATGGCAAAATTTTTCTGAAACATTTAGATAAAGTCACAAAGAAAAAAATGAACTGGCAATACAGTCCCTAGGAGGTGAAATAAATGCGGGGTTTCCAAAATTGCCTGTCAAGTATAATCCCCAAGAATGTGGTCCTGGGATGGCTATTCCCCGCCTGTTCCAACGCTGCTTCTATTCCAACCTAGCCTTCCTACAGCAGGTAGCCTGAACTACAGCCAGTTTCATAACTTCACTTTTCAATTGAAGACATTACCGAGCTAACGATCACTGTCTGGTATAGATCATCCAGACTCGCCCCTTATTTAACAGAGCAGTAAACTGAGGCTCAGAAAGGGAAAAGTAGCCCCCATTAAAAACAAACCAGAAACAGTAATTTTTCCAGGACCACCCTTAAAAAACACTACTGCTAGGCTAACTAAAGGTTCTGGCTAATTAAAAAAAAATAAAAATAAAAATGCTATTTTAGAGGGTTAATTTTCACATATACCTCCTCAGGCTTTTTTAAAAAGTTCGAATGGAGAGGAAAGCGTAATTTCCCGTCTGGGAAATGGAAAGTGAAGAGGCTAGCACCTCGAGTCTTAGAAACCCAAGCCCCCAGGAAGAACAGTGAAACAATTATTCATAGGGAACAAGGCCACACAAGGGCTGCGGGACCGTTAAAACGGGCAGAAAAACAAAACAAAACAAAACAACAACACAACTGCTTCCTCTTTAGGAGAGGGAGTCGTTCATTTGCAAGGATTTGGGTCCATGGTCCCGCGACCCAGCCATTAGGACCGAACTGAGGCTCACTATTGGGGGGAGGGGAGCTTCAAACAAAACGAAACAAAAAGGCTTCAGAAAGGCCCAATGCTTCCCAATGTTAGCGTTAAAACATATGTAAATTACAGGCGGCCTGTAGCGCAGTGACGCCAAGGCGGGGGATGCGCGGGGGGGTGCTGCGGAAGTGAGGAGAAGACAAGGCAGAGGTGGAGCTGCGGCCTCACAGCACCGCTTTTTCCCCATCCAGGGTTACAGACGCCCCCTAACTCTAGCCAAGACATCTTATTATTCTTAGTCTTATTATTCTTATCTTCTTTTTTTAAACAGAGAGACAGACAGAGACAGACAAACAGGCAGAGCCGCAGTGCACACGGTCCGTGTGTCGGAGAGGCCGCCGGGAGACTCACCGCAGCAATGCTACGTGAATGCAGAGGGCTGGAGGTGGTGTGACTACTCACTTGCTCGGCTAACAGCTGCCGGTTTTGGATGGAATTATTCCGCAACAACAAGAAAGCGTCGGTTAAACGCCTGGTGGCCATGTCTCACCCTTTGTGACCCCCCTCTCAGGGGCCCCCCGCCCACTTATATTCCTGATTTATTCACTTTCTTTCTCTTGACCCGGCCGGCCCACCCTTTCACAGAAGCTTCTCGACAAGGCCTCAGGCCTCAAGCCAAAAAGACGCAGCTGTGCCCTTCGCCAAAGCGTAGAGACCCCTCCCCAAATAACTACCTAGGCTTTCCAATTGTCTGACTCCCCCTACCCAGGACCGACTTCGATCTCTAAGCACTTGAATCCCCCCAATCCTTGCGTAGCGATCCAACGTTCCAGAGACCCCACCCCAATCCAACCTTGGATCTACAAGCGTCTAACTCGCCAATCCAGCTCTGGACTGGGAGGCCCTGAAGCCCCCTACTCCCTGAGACCCCCAAAGGTCTTTGCTCTCTACCCCTAACTTGGCTCGTAAGCGTCTAGGCCGTGCCCTGAGGTCTGGCTGTGACTCAGTTTCCCCACCAGAGGCCTGGCCTAGGCCCTCTTTGGACAACCGGAGCCAGGCCTGCGGCCTGGACTCCAGGGCGCCTGCAGCTCCCTTCTGGGGCCTTGTCTGAGCCTGCTGAGGCCCTGCCCGACCTCCTGACCCCTTCCTTTCCTGGGTGGCCTGGTCCTCCACTGCCAGCAGGCTGCTGGCCTGCAGGAGGACAGCAGGGCCTGCCTCCCCGGCCTTCTCACTCCTCTTCTCCGGCTCCCTCCATCCCCGGATCTGACTGCAGCTCAGCCCCGGGCCGTTTCCGTGCTGTGGTCCCGGGTTCTGGCGTCCCCCCTGGCCCTCTTCCTGTCCGTCCCTCGCGAGTGCCCCCCTGCGACTCTCGCAAGCCTTGCTTGCAACGTTCCGGGCGCGGGAGCTCCCTGCACTCCTGCCCCGGGGCACGAGAGTGCTCCGCCCTTTCCCGGGGTGCTCCTGGGGCGCCCCGTTTCGCCTTCCCCAACTGGGTCTAGGCACTAGGAGCAGGCCAGCGAGCAGGCCCGAGCCTGGGGAGCGTGACCCCCAGGCTGCAAACCGCTGCCAGGGCCCTTGGTCCCTGCATTAGAGTGGAAGTTGCGCGGCAGGCAAATTTGGGCTCCCCGAGAGCCGAAGTTTTGGGCGCGGGGAGTTGGAGCGGGAGAGGAAAAGTTGGAGACGACTGCCTCTGCAGGCCAAGCACGCTCTACTGCAGGCGCCGGCGCTCGCTTTTTTTTTTTTTTTTTTTTTTTTTTTTTGCCCTCATGAAAAAATAGCACCCCCCCAAACAACCTGGGAGAAAAAAAAAAAAAAAAAAAAAAAAAAAAGCGAGAGCTCCAGGCAGTCTGGCCGCGCAGCCGCCGGCAGTCGGGGGTCGTTGGGGGCGCCCGCCCTCCCCAGCTGCCGCTTTCTGTAGGTGGCACTACAGGGTCGTGGAATCTCAAGTGGAAAAGTTCCCCGAAAACTTTGACACCTCCTGCCCCCGTCCCCGCGAAAAATATCTCTGTTCCTCGCCTGGGCCCTGGCCCGGAGCCCCCCGCGCCCCTGGCGTCCCGGGCCCGGTTTCTCGCCGTTGGCCAGGCCCGGGGCGCCCTAAGCACCCTGGCTTGCCGCCCCGGGCCAGGTCGGCTGGGTTCGTGCAGGGGCTCCTTGGGGCCGCGTCGGGCAGCAGCCGCCCGGGCCCGAGCACGGGGCCCAGAAACAGGCGGGCGCCCAGTGATGGAGACCCTGGTCCGGCCCGGAGCCGCCCGGGAGGCCTGAGGCCAAGGGCCTGGCCCAGCGCTCGGCGGGAGCGGGTCGAGGGCGCAGAGCTGTGCTGCTGCGCCTTCCGGGCCCCCGGTCTGTCTAGGGCCGGCTTCCCAGTGCAGGGCCGGCTTCCCCTTGCCGGGCGAGGGTGCGGACCGGACTCCGGAGTGGGGTTCCAACAAAACACCTAGGCCCCAGAAGCGGCTCCCACGCGTCCTTTGTTTCTGCGTGGAACAAACTTTACACACGTGTGTTTTCCGAGGGTTTCCCGTGTGCTGAGCGCTTGCAAAGCGGAGTCGCGCCCGGGGAGACGCGAAGCCGGTGCCCGCGGCTCACCCAGGGACCCCGGCCGGACAGCGGCACCCGCGGGGCGCCTGCGGGACCCCCAGACGACCGGGGGAAACGCCGGTAACTGCCCCCCGCCGTGCTTTTTCTCTCACGGAGAACGTTCCCGCGCGTTCGTTGTGGAACTAAAAATTAATGTCAAACATATCTATTGAGGCAAATAACAAAATGCATACAACGAAACCCACGTAAAATCGAGAGAGCCGCGAGCGGGGCTGGGCGAGTTTACTGTGAGAACCCGCCAGCTTCCGCTCTGCGCGGAGAGCGGGGCACTCGCCCGGGGACGCTTCGCTGCGGTGGAAGATTCGGGCGACAGGGGACCGGGTCGCCTCGCGGGCCGGGTTGGGGGCTGCAGGGGCGCGCTGACAGGCCATCCAAAGACAGAGGCCCTGGGGAGGGAAATTCGGGGAGTCTGTGTGCCTAGCGCGGTGCCCCAGGAAATATTTGCCCAATAAGGGAGAGTTCTGTCCTCACCCGCGGCAGATCCCCCCGCGAGCTCTGACCCCAGCAGCACGGCCAAGCCTCCCCCCTCGCCCCTTTAGGGGACAGTTATTTGTAAATAACAACTGAGCTGGTTGTCGGTAGGAGAATCAGATTAGAAACATGGTCCCCACTCTGTTCCTATCTCCCCAGCACTCATCACCTCGCAAAGCAGGGGGTCTTGTTTACTTTTCCTGGCGTTCTCCCCCAGGCTAGAACGTGATCTTCCTACGCAGGGACCGTGTTTTATTCATCTTTGTACCCACTGCCGTCTCATCTGGCTTGGAACAGGCTCCGGATAAATATTTTTAAAATATGTGCATGAATGAATGAGAGACCTGAGATTTAGTCCCCAAACTCTCCGACCTCCCTCGAGTGACTTTAAGCCTTTAGAGCCCTTATCTGTTAAGAAAGAAAGAAAAAAATGTGGGTTTTTCGTAATCCTCGTAATCCGTGCCCTGTCTACTTCTCTGGGGTTATTGTGAAGATCAAATAAGATAAGTGAAAACTCTTTGTAAACTACCAGGTGCTGAGCAGATATTGTATAGGATGGTAATTCATTCATTCCCTCCGTTCAGGAAGCTTAACAGAATAATTCCTGGTCTTGTGTTTAAGCAGATGGTGGTCGCCTTTCCTGGTCAGTCTTAAATATTTATTACAGGACAATCTCATTCTTACATTTAGGAAATCAATCAAGCTTCCATTTCTTTGAGCGAAATGAACACTGCTTGCACACATAAATAACGGAAGAAAAACCCTCGTATTCCCAAAACAGCCACCCCAAGCAACTCAAGAGCCCAACAGCAGGGAGGTCATGAAAATCCAGGAAATTGGCATAACAGCCCAAAGGTAGCACCGTGCAGCTCTAACCAGGCTGTGTTTAGGTATGGGATTGTGTGCCTGAAATAGTGTTAATGAAGAGGAAACCCAGAGAGGACATGCACTCCTGGCTCCAGTCACGTCCATGGTCCGTGTTCGCCCTGACCCACACTGGAAGGGAGTTGGGGAAGGATGTAAATCATTATGTTTGAATGTTCGTTGGCTGTTTTATTTTCCTGTCAAGTAACTTAAGCTTGATTTTTTGTTTTTGTTTTTTTTTAAAGCATTCCCCGATGGCCAAGTATGTGTTTCCTTGGAATTGAAATCTAGGTTGATGGTTTTACATTTTAAAAGCTTTCATTGTGACTCATTCTTGGCCTGGGCTCGGATTCCGTCATACTCCTTGGGCTTGGTGAGGCTCAGCGTCCTGTTTCTTGGGCTTCATACCCACTTTCTAACATTCTGCCAACGAATCCAATAAGTCACTTTTGGGGACAAGTGTTTCATTGTTGTCATCTCATTCAGTACAGGAGGGAACCCCAGTGAAGCCAGGCCATGACTTGGGCAGGAGCAGGTTTTCAAGTACTGAGAGGGGATGGTTAGCACAACAGGTCAGCAGTGGGACACACACCTTTGGTGAAAACAATTTAAATGAGATAGGATTTGTGAAGCCCTTATAGAACCTCAGCATAGAGTAAGTGCTCCACAAATGGGCAATGTGATTGATCACAACAGTAGTCTTGCTGTTGGAAAGCTCACGTGGGCTCCGCTCTCCCTGGAAGGCATCATAAACTCCAAAGAGAATGGCATGATGTTGAGAACTGAACACTTGGAAATCTAAGCACATTTCTGAGCTTCTTGTTCTGGACCTTGGGAATCCAGATGTGTCTGTGGTGCACGCTCATGTGGAAGAGGGGGCTAAACAGTCTCAAAGACACCTTTTAACATTGGCCTTTCTCCCACCTATAGAAAGACAGATGATTGTTTGTTTATCAAGCAGCAAAAACCCCCAAGCCTAACACATGTCTTGTCGGCACAGATCTAACAGACAGATACGGGCCAGGTTCAGGTAACAGGAGTTGTGTGTTCTACGTCTCCAAACAGTTCCTCAAAACCTTGAGTATTTCCAACAACAGAAAACTCCCTACCTGGGTCTGTCTTCAGCTATGATGCCTCTCCCAAGAAGGGAGACTCCGGAGAGAGGCAACAGTTTTGTTTTGTCTGGAGTCCCGTAGCTTTTAGTACCAGACAATTCAATACAGTAGGCATTTCTAAAAATCTACTAGTGGCTGTGCCTAGCTCTTGCTGGGCACTGCTAAAAGAACGAAACAGAGTAAAACTTTTGCTTTCAGGGAATTTGTATCTCCACTGTCTCTGCCCAAATTCTGGCTCTCATCTTGTACATTTTTCTAGCAGCCTGCTAGCAGCCACCCGTCTCTTCCCTCCTCATCCTGCAGCCACAGTGACCTTTCCAAAGCACAAATCTGATCATGTCACTGCCTGATTGAGGCCCTGAAACAGCTCCCTCTGGCCTATGCCAGTCAATCCAAATGACACTCAGCAGAAAACAGGTGCTGTCTAAGTTGAACCAAGCTGGGCATCACTAATATTAACTAATGATGGTGTTTACTTGGTTGTCAGAAAAAAAAAAAAAAGAAGCAGCAGCTAATTAATAGAATAGTCTCCATCTTAAGTGTTTCTCTTCTCACTTTCTCTTAAACCTTCAGTTCCTGCTACCACTTGGCTGTATTAGAATATAGTATAAGACTAGATCTGACTTATTCCAGAATCATGGATTTCATTACAATTTTTTTCCCCATATATCAGTATTTTCTGGAGTTCTGCATTTAGGTTTTCTATGCTCTCCACATGGTGGAGTGCCCCTGGGTATTCAAAGCCCTGCCCAACAGGCCCCACCCAAATGGTGAGCTTTTTTCTTTCCAGGACTTGGCTCACAGACCTTTCTCTGCCTGGTGGGGGTAGTGGCGGGGGATGTGTCTTGCCCCTTGTGCTTGGTAAACCCTTCCTTCAAGACTTAGCGCCTCCCCACTGTCAGGTGTGATAAATGTTTGCGGAATGGATGAATGGATGGCTTGATGCACAAAAGGTGAGATTAAATATATTAAGTGC